TTAGCTCTGACCTCTTGGCTTTCTTCTTTGCATTGGTTCTGTGTTTCTTATTTAATAAGAAGGTTGGTTACATCTACACCTCCCAATCAGCACCACCAATAGGAGATAAGTATTCAAATACAGATGCTTCCAGGGGAAATTACCATTCAAATCAACATAGGACCCATCGGAATACTGAACACAGAGTTTGCAACATAGCTGCACAGTCAACAATCATTCGTGTTGATGCCATAGATATATAAAAACAAAAGATCACCTTTTTAATAAACTGGTAGATAAACTGTATATCCACATGCACAAGAAACGAATCAGACAGTTATCTCATTTCATTTATACATATCAACTTAAAATGAACAAAAGACTTAAACTTACAGCCTGAAACTACAAAATCATAATAACAAAAAGTAAAGGAAAAGTTTTTAACAATAATACTGGTAAAGACTTTTACATACAATCCCCAAAGCATAAGCAACAAAGGACCAACATACAAACTCGATAGTTATCATACTAAAAATATTGTGTACCATTAAGGAAAATAAAAAGAGTAAATCAATAAGCTAATGGCTTGAGAGAAAATGTCTGAAGACCACAGTTTCATTACAAAGTATATAAAAGACTAAAACAACTCATTAATATCAAAACATATAATGCAGTTTAACAATGAGACAAGACCCTCAATAGACATGTCAACAGAAAGCATTCAAACTGGCAACCTGCATGTAAGTTTTCACCATCACTAATTTCCAAAGAAATACAACTTAAAGGCCCATGAGATATCACATCACACTGATTCATAAGAAATTTAAATGTACAGTAAGTGGTAGAAAGTACTGCACAGGAGTTAGTTGAAGGGGAGCCCCTGTGCACTCTTTAAGAGGGATGTAAGTTAGTCCAGTCATTATGCAGTACTTGGGAGGTTTCCCCCAAAACAGAGAGAGCTTCCATGTGATCCAGCCATTCCACTGGATATCTATACCAAAGAAATAAAATCAGTCTATTCAAGTGCTGTCTACACTTTCATGTTCACTGTAGCACGATTCTCAAGTCAAATATAGACTCAATAAAAATTTGCATCAGAGGACCACCGGACAAAGTAACAATGCAATACTCTTCAGAACTAGAATTTTTGAGGACAACAGAGGACACTTGAATTTTGGGGACAACATCAATGAATGTGAGACATTTAATTATTAAATGAAATTAGCCAAGTACAAACCATCACATATTTTATAGTCTCACTCAAGATTGGAATCTAAAAACTCTGGAACAGAGAGTACTGTGGTAGTGGCTGAAAGCCAGGAGAATTCCTTTTGATGTTAAATTATCTCACACATTGCAGATGCTAAAAACTAGGGCTAAGGATAGCTCTTGTAAAGCAGAGCTATTATAGTTAACAACAATGCTTTTTTTGCTTTAAAATTGCTGAGAATATACATTTTTAAAATTTTCTCATCATACAAAACTAATAACTATATGAGGTAACATATGTATTTAGATAGATTAAAGAATGTCCCTAGGTATAAACATATCAAAACTTCATGCTATGTGCCATGTACATAAAATGTCTACTTATCAGTTAAAATACATCAATTTCTCTCATAAAACTAAAAAATCTGTAGATGAACATGGGAATAATTTTAATGACTTTAGTTCTATAATGACTCTTCATATGAAAAAACAAAGACCCTAGGAAAATAAGAATTCATAAAGTGGAGTTCATTAAAGTTAAACTATTTGGCTTTGCAAAGGGCAGTGCCAAGAGGACACAAAAACTAAATCACACACTGGGAAATATTTGCAAAAATGTATATGTGATTAAAAAGAAGACTGATATAAAAAATCCTTTAAACTCTCAGAAAAGAAGTGAACAATCTGATCATAAAGAGACAGATCTTAATAGATATATCAGCAATAGATCTATTTGCTGAGGCCACATAGTTTTGAACACAAAAAAGCATATGTAAAATCTTCCACAGAATACATGATGAGAAAATCTAAGCTGGAGCAAGGAAATGCCACTCCATACTGACTTAAGTAACAAAATACAATACACTGACAACTGTGAATAAAGGCAATGTGGTGATGCAAAATGCCTTGAATACAAAATGTCATAGGCACTTTGGAAGTTTGGTAATCTCTGTGTAAGCACATTGCTGTATATATATGCATAGGGAGGTATATGTTGACCTGCACAAATAAATCTCTGCAGAAATGTTTGCATACAAATATATTTGCTGCATTAGGAACTACCAAATCTCAGAAACAGCCAAGGCCTTGTTAAGCAGTTGTTAGATAATCTATTCTTGTTGAGATATATTATTATTTTTCAATGTAAAGTGAAATATGCTATCAAGCCATGAAGGAAAGACATAGAAGAAACATAAAGTTCTGCACTGAGTGAAAGCCTTTACCTGTCTGTAAAGGCTGTAAGATGCATGATTGTTACTCTAAGGCAGTTCTGAAAAGCCAAAACTAATGAGATAATATTGATGGTTGCCAAAGGACAGGGTGAAAGGAAGAATGAATAGATGGAACACCGTGTTTGTACAACAACCTCTGTACTCACAGAAACTGACATTACAAGTTTGTCAGAATACACAGAATATACTTTATAAATTATACTGGCAGTTCAAATGAAAACTATAAATGTTAATTGCAATGATCTCTTAGTGAGGCTTCGTGAATTTTAACAAAAATACCATTCTGAAGGGAGATGCTAGAAATATGGGAATCAATGCACGTCCAACTGACTGGAAGGCTCCAAGAAACATATGTACTTTCTGCTAAGTTTTGCTATCAACATAAAACTCACAGAATTAATCCATTAAAATGAACTGAGAAAGACAATTTGGAAGGCATTGACAATACGAAGGTCTAGTGAATTGCCTTCTGGATATAGTGTAAGTGTGTAAGCTACTGTCACAAGATGAGGTATTGTGAAATATAGAACTAAAGCAATGTTCCAAATGCATGAAGGAGAAAAGCAATAATGGTGCCACATGAAGACATCGAAATTGTTCCTGAGCAGATCAAATTCAAGGCCTTATAAGTTAGAGGAAAAGTTTCTGCAAAATGTAACATTAAAAGATGGCAAGCCTTGGGTCAATATAGAAATATGGTGGTGGTGTGGTTTGATTATGGGATTTCTCTCATATGCTTATGCACTTGAACACTGGATCCTCAGCTGGTAGTCAAAATTTGAAGGCTGTACACACAACCTTGAAGTATTATTGAAGGAAGTGGGTAATCAGGACAAGTAACTTGAAGTACCATAGCCCAGCCCAACTTCTTTTCCTTGTCTGCTTTCTCACTACAGACTCCGTGGCATCAGCCACTTCACACTTCTGCCAGTCATGATGAACTGTGCTTTTAAACCATGGGACAAAATGAACACTTTTCCCGTTGCTTTGTAAAATGTTTTCTCACAGTAACAAGAAAGGTAATGGATACAGGTGGTTTCTGCCTGGAGAATGGGATGCGGAGTGCTATTGAGAGACAAACCAAAGGACTTTACCTGTGTTTAGAAGACTCTGAGGTCTTCAAGTAAAATATAATGCCTGATTGAACTGTGAGTGTGGAAACATCAGAACTGTAGATGTAGAACTGAAAAATTTAAATATTCTGGTAATAGTGCAGACTTAGAATGAAGGAAACAAGGACTGACTTACCAGCTTCAGAAGAGGCCCTAGCTTAGGATTGCAGCATCAAGATTTGGGAAGCAATAGTCTCTGGTGGGGATATCAAGTTTTGTTTGTGGTCCTTTTTGTTTGAAGATGCCTGGCAACAATCAATAGGCTGTCTTAAACATTTTCATTTATGCCTTTGGAAATGAATGAAGGTAGCATTGGATTAAAATATAGGATTAATTGACTTATAAAGCTACAAGAGTAGATGTAGTAACAGAAATGATGTGAGTGGAGAGGTAAAGGCAAAAAGTAAAGGCGTTAAGACAAAGTCACCTAGCCGCTGATTTTGACTACATGGAGAATTTTGATGACCTTTTTGCAGCTTTAAAAGGAGAGGTGGAACTATTTCTTCTATTAGAAAATGTGATTGTAACTTAAAAAAAAAAGTCACAATCTCTCCAATACCACAAACATTTCCATTTCACCTAACCTTTTCACAGTTATTTAAAAATAATTCATTTGTTTGATGATAGCCATGTATTTCTTATAATTTGAAGATTTAAATATCATAAAATAAAAATTTAAAATAAAAGTTATGAAGTATAAGACTATAAAGTATCAACTTTAACTTAGCAGTTAGTTAAATTATTTTAAATTCAATTTGGATTAAAGTAAGATAAAACTAATTTACCAAGAATGTTCATCAGGGATTGTAAGTGTCTCAATCTTGTGGTCACTTTAAACTCAGATGGCCCTGTAAACTCAAGGTTTTCTTTCTCTTCTCCCTACAATGATGCTCCTTTTTCCTCTTATCTTTTCTTACATCTTCCCCTTCCTGTCTTCCTTACTCCTTTCCCTCACTTCCTTCCCTGTGTTTTCTTCCTAAAGCCATCTTGGATATTTATTCAATTCAAACTCTATTTTCTAACTTTGCTTTGATTCTCTTGGCCATTGTGCTCCTTTAAGTGTACAAGCTCAAGCTTCATATCATCAAATCTAGAGAAGTATCAAGCCTTCTTGGAGTTTCCTTTTTTTTTTTTTTTTCAGAGTCCTTGCTGAACATTGGTATTTTTTCTTTGTTTCCCTATCATTATTTTCTGCTTTATTCTTATTTGCATATTCTTTGTTCTCTCTAGTGGTTTTACTTCTAAAACTCCATAGCTGCATCTTCCACATCGTTCAATTAACCCTATGTATTTTTTAATGCATTGACTATATTTTCTTTTCACCTTGTGTTTTTTCTTCTCTTTAAAAATTATTTGATTAATTTGCTGCACACTACTTTTATCTCATGAGCTCATTTTAAGACTACTGAAATGGGTTCACTGAATATACTTTGGAGTTCTTCCTTCAGTTTGAGTTCTGATCCAAGATCTACTTTGCCTTCTTCTCTTTCTTTGCCTTCTTTTCATCTTTCTTTGATTCAGAGGAATCACCTGCAGAGTCTTTCTTGCCTTTCTTGTCTTTCTTGTCTTTCTTCTTGTCTTTCTTAGCATCCTCCTTTGAGTCTCCCTCTGCCTTCTTGTCCTTTTTACCTTCCTTCTTCTTGGCCAAGTCTTTCTTGCTCTCTTTCTTTGAAACTCCTTTATCAGTGTCAGAATCTGCAGAATCTTTAATCTTTGAAGACTTTGTAACAACTTTGCTTACTTTCTTTTCAGCAGCCTTGTCAGGTTCTGAATTTGCAGGTGTACCTTTTGAATCCTTCGACTCTTTTTTACCTTTTTTGGCCTCTTTTTTCCCACCAGCCTTTTCACCTTCGGATTCTGAAGCTATACCTTTATCCTTTGGTCCCTTTTTTCCTTTTTTGGCTTCTTTCTTCCCAGCAGCCTTTTCACCTTCGGATTCTGAAGCTGAGCTTTTATCCTTTGGTTCCTTTTTATCTTTTTTGGCTTCTTTCTTCCCAGCAGCCTTTTCGCCTTCAGATTCTGAGGCTATACCTTTATCCTTTGGTCCCTTTTTATCTTTTTTGGCTTCTTTCTTCTCAGCAGCCTTTTCACCTTCAGATTCTGAAGCTGAGCTTTTATCCTTCGGTTCTTTTTTACCTTTTTTGGCCTCTTTCTTCCCAGCAGCCTTTTCCCCTTCGGAGTCTGAAGCTGACCCCTTGTCCTTCCGTGAATCCTTTGAACTTTTCTTGGCCACTGGTTTGGGACTTTCTTCCTTGACAATCTTCAACACTGTCTTCTCCTTTGATTCAGATTCAACTTTTTTCACTTTCTCTTCTTTCTTTGGTTTTTCTGAAGGCAAAGGCTTGGGTGAGGCTGCTTCTTTAGACTCTTTCTTGCCAGAATGAGGTCGTTTCAGTGGAAGGCCCTTCCTTGCAGCTAAATAAACGGACGGTCGCTCGGGAATTCTCATCAGCGAACGGTACATCCACAATGGTGGTCTGTGAATTGCTAACTTTTGTTCATCGATTACCTCAATATTGGAAATAATAATAAGGAAAAAACATGTTATATAGCCTTTAATAATAAGATACCACATACGTATTTTAATTTTAACTGGAAATATTTTTTTAATATTTTCAAAGTATTTTTAGAAAAACTGTCGATTAATTGTGGATTTTAAAGTCTATTCCAATTTGAAGTTCATTGAAATTTAAAGTAATGGGCAATTATGTCCCTACTTGTAGTCTACTTCCAATTTACAGTGACTGCAATTTTTCTTTAAGATTTAACATCAAAATTTGATAGAGACCTCCATTGGTGCATAACACGTTAGGATCTCTCTTCATTATTGAGAGGCTAAAAAAGACACTATTTGAGAGTTTATAGCTAGTGAAGCTTTCACTGCTATTCATACTAATTGTGAATTAAAGTATCTTGACATCTTTTTGCTCTGCAAACAATATATTACAGGTAAGAGTATTGAATGAAGTGTTAGCATAAAATAATCTATGATCAATATTAAAATTGGGGTGGTAATTATATAAAATATGTCCCTCATGACAAGACTCATATTAGCCCTTACCCTCACAGCACATTTAACAATGTATTACTATACAAGATCATTGTTACTAAGTAGTTATTATTAATGTATACATGATATTTTCATATACTCACAGGAGCTGTATTGTTGCTTAATTGGGAAGGTAGTGATCTCCGTTTCTTTCCTGGCCTTGGTGGTTTGGGAAATGCCAGGGAAAAGTATTGCTGATTCCATGATTTTTTGCTTAATTCACTGACTAAAATAAGAAAGATATGCTTTGCTATAAATGGAATTTTGTCTGAACTGAAATGGCCATGAGTATGATATATACCATACAAATAAATAAATAAATGAGGCAAATTACAGCTTCATTTATTTGATAGTTTGAATTTTTTGGTGATCTATATGGGAAACTTTGATTTTCTACCCTGACCAATTTTAGAAATAAATATTTTGACTGATAGCTATATAAAGTAGTCATAGTGAAATCAGTGCTGTCATAACATAAAGGAGGAAAAAGAGTATTGCTGCTCCCTTTTCAGTATTTCTGTGTCTTCCAGTTCAGATTTTTTTCCATATGTTCTTTTTTTTAATATAATTCTGCTCAGAACAGAAAGATAATGTGGTTCTGTAGCTACCGAAGAACTTAGCACACTGCTTAACGTAAAATATGCAGAAAATATGTGCTTGAATTTGCATACTAAGACTTAAAATCCTATTAGTTAATATTCAGCTTCTCAGATATAAGAGGACATGTAATATACTCTAGAGATAGGCTGTTATGGAAGATAGGCTTAATAAAGGAAAAATGATAAACAAATACAAAATGGGACTAAGAAAGTGATATTACCAGAAATAGCAATAGAAATGATTAAGGCTGTTCCAGTTACAACTGAGGTCAATGAGAAATACCATCACTATATTAGTGCATATGAAATATTGCAAATTTTAGAGAAACAACTTCCTACTTTCCAAGGGACAACATTAGGATCAATGTTCAAATGTTCAGGATGAAAGTTATATTGAAGTTTAATTGAAGACAGAAAACAAGCTGGTACTAAAAGTTATTCAATATTAAACAGATTTTCCTTGTCTAGTATTGACACTAGCTAAATATAAACAATCAGGAACACAGTAAAAGGTTCTTGATTAAAGGCATTTATTCAGTTTCTTCATTGTTTTTCATATTCAAGACCACTGTGTTATATTATTTCTAAAATAAAAACATTCCAGATTTAAAACCATACTTATACAACATATACCTATGTAAAATGTGCTCCCTGTTTCCATGAGAAAAGATCTTTGGCAATATAGCCATAGCAGTTTTTATGACTTTAAACTGAAGGTAAAAAACACATGTCTAAAATTAATCAGGCAAAACTAGTAAGAGTAACCAACCAATGTCTGATTTGACTTAAGGCCCAGTCCACAAGATGGAATCCATACCCAACACTGCTTGGTGACCAAGAACCAGAGACTAGACAGCCCAAAGATCTAGGGTAAAACCAAATACTACTGTTCTTAAAAAAAAAGTGATAAAATGACTCCTAATGATATTCTGCTATACTAAGGATCAGTGTCTTCTTCACCCATCATCAGAGAAGCTTCCTCCTAAAGCAGAATGGAGCAAATACAAAGATCCACAGACAGACATTAGGCAGAGAAAGGGAGATCCTGTGAAAACACAGCTCTAAATGGGATGTCTGCATCAAATTCCTCTCCTCAGGACTCATGAAACCCATAGGAGAGGAGTGAGAAAAGTATTAGTCAGAAGGGATGGAGGACACCAAGAGATCGAGTACATCTAAATCAACTTCGCAAAGGCCGTGTGAACTCACAGACACCGAAGCGGCATTTCCAAGACCTGCGCAGGTCTGAGCCAGGTCCTTGGTTATACATTATGACTTTCAGTTTAGAGGTTTTATGGGACTCCTGAGTGTGTGAATGAGTGAGTCTCTGACTCTTGAACCTTCTTTTAGGCTTTATTCCTTCTGTTGGTTTGCCTTATTCAACTTGGATGGATGGTGTTTGTTTTGTCACTATATTTTATGCTGTTAAGTCTTGTATTTATCCCTTAGAAGCCCATTCTTTTCTAATGAGAGACAAAAGAGGAGTAGATCCTGATGAGGGGTAGGAGGTGGGAGGAACAAGAAGAAGCAGAAGAAAGGAAAACTGTAATCAGCAAAAGCGAAAAGAATCTCTTTTCAATAAAAAGGAAAAAAAATTAATCATTCATTTAAAAAATAAATATTGAACTCCATCTTACCTGGAATATAATTATCGTATGGTCCATATGTTACTTTTAGGCTATTAAAATAAAATAGAAAATTTTAAATTGTTTTATACAAATATCATGTATCTAATGATCATTATTGTATGTAAAAAACACCACCAACTAGACAATTACTGAATTATTATTATTATGTAAGCCAATTTCATCTACAAGACAGTAGGGATGAGCGAACAGTATTCCAAATTTAACAAGACTAAGCTAAGATAGAGTAGAATATACATGTGTGTTTGTAAGGGAGTGAGATATATACACACTTACAAGCCCACCTTTTAGTCACATCTAAATTTTAGAGTTTTTTAAAATTAATTTGTAAAACACTGATCAAGTCATTTTTCTAAATCATAGCACAAATTCTCTTGGAATTGGCTTTTAGCTAAGATACCACTTTCTAACCCATGTTTAACTAAAGTAAACACTCAATATCTTCTCAAAATTTAACCAAATCTAGGTCATTAAATGATATATGTGTGTGTATGCATGTATATGTCAGGATTGTCAGGGTACACTCTAAGTATTTATGTAGAATTTCATTATGTAGATAATCTATGAAAAAATAACAAATTAACAAGCTATGTTGTAAAAAGATTTCCATTAATAACTTCTAATCTGATTTTTTTTAATTATAGGGAAACCTTTGTTAGCAGGAAGAAACATTTTAACTAATTTTTATTTGTTTTAAACAAAGACCAGCAGTAATAGGCCTTAGTACTATTGTCCCATATTGTTCTACTATGTAACAAATGGATATCAATCGTGGATCTGACTGAATTTGAGCATTAATTACATGCCCAAGTATGTAGTTTCTCAGTTTAGAATTTATTGGTTACGTATGTAAGTGTATGTGATGTATATATGTATGCATGTTTGTATTATGTGCAGGTACATGTGTGTGTTGATGTGTGTGTGTATATATATATATATATACATTAGAAGGGCAAACTTAATGATTCTCTTCAATATGTATTGAAGCATGGTACCTTGCTTGATCCTACAGCTCACAGATTCAGCTAGTCTAACCAGCTTGCTCTGGTGATCCTCTCTGTGTCTTCTATACACTGGGATTATAGGCAGGCATCCATGCACTAATGGCAGTTACCTGGATGCTGGTTAGACTCTTAGGCATGCAATGAACCACCTTTTGAGCTCCCATATTTTACTTATTTTGATGACATATAAAGTTAAGAATTAATGTTCACTCTTTGTCTCAATGGTAGAACAATTTTCTGGTGGATGAATATAGAGAACTCAGTCATTTTGATTCTTCTGATCTTATGTTAACGAAGACTTTTTTTTTTAAAGTTGAGAATTAAATGCAAAATGATAAGTTTCACAATAATGGAATATTAAAATAGTTTGTGAAATAGAACCTGCAGTTTTAATATCTTATTAAAAAATAATTATTTAAAATCAAGATTTTGAATATTTGTATAAACAATAATAAAACAGTATAAAGAAAAAAGATGGGAGAAAATATAGTTTGAATGATCCTTTATGTCAATATTAATATACTACAAACTGTCAAGATTATTATTAAAAATTAATATTACAGAAAAACACTCATTTCTAAACAGATCTACAATAAGTTAAATTTCAACATATTCTACTAAAAAATTAAATTACAGACCAAATAATATTATGACTGAGGTTTATACTCAACAATATAATTTAGTTAAAAAGAAAATTAATTAGCACATTCATCCTAAATAAAAATAATAAATAAACATAATTTGATCAAATCAGTATATGTAAAACGAATAATTAAAATAATAATATTAATTTTTATTTCATTCATTTATTGGAAGAAAATGGAATTAGAAAATGTCTTCCAAATTTCAGTAAAATATGTGTAGAAACTATATGCTGTTAACAGTAAAATCAGTAATTTAAGATTGTTTTTCTACCATAATCTAAAGGAAAAATGCTCACTCCCATGAACATTGTGGTTAGTATCCATTCCATGCCCTAAGGCAATAGAAGCATGGAGACTGGGAAGAGCAAGTCAATATATCTCTATTCATAGGGGAGCTGAGTGGGTAAATAAAGAAGCTAATGGAATCCATAAAAGCTATGCATTGTTAAATGAGTGTACTAAGGTTATAGATTTCAGTTGTTTGTGTGATGGTAAATTTTAATTGCTGATTTGTTACAATACAGAACAACTGGAGGGGGTGGGAAAGGGTCTCTAAGAATGTTTGTGAGGGATTGTCTTAATTACAAATAGCTAATACTTAATAACAAATAGCAGGCATGAGTCCATTGCTCTCTGCTGCAAACTCTGGTTGAAATACAATGAATTCTCTCAAGGTCTTGTCACTGTGATTTTCTGACATGATAGATTGTAACCTAAAACTATGGGATAAGTCAACCTTTTCTTACTTGAATTGCTTTTGCCAAGTGTTTTCATCATGGCACCAAATGTGAAACTAAGACAAATTTCATAAATTATACTTCCACATACTCAAAACTGTGAATTAAACCAACACATGGAGAAATAAAGTTAACAGTTAAAATGAACATAAACAACATAATAGAACATGTCTTAGATATCTACAGAGCACTCATATAACAAATATACTATCCACTCATTTCAATAGAATATTCCCTATGATAAATTAGAATAGAAAAATTTATTTCAACACATTGAAACAGCATTGAAATCTTTCAGAGCATCTTTTCTTAGTATATTGAAATAAAACTAGAAGTCAATGAGAAAATACTTGAAAACATTAAGATAATTCAAATCCAAGGACGTTAAAGGGATTATTCTTTGATTTAAGATTTTCTATACTTTCTGCTTTATTTTTATTTTTTTATTAAACTAGCATACAAAATCACAAATTTCCTTGTGGTATTTTCACACATACTTAGATTTAGTTGATACTGTCCCCCAATTCTCTCTCTTCCTCTCTCTCTCCTCTCTCTCTCTCTCTCTCTCTCTCTCTCTCTCTCTCTCTCTCTCTCTCTCTCTCTCTCTCTCTCTCTCTCTGTCACACACACACACACACACACACACACACACACACACACACACACACACACATACACACATACATGCATACACACACCAGGTTACTTCACTTACTATAACATTTTCCAGTTTCATCTGTTTTCCTGCAAACTTTATATATAGTTTCATATCTTTACCACTGAATAAAATCCCACTGTGTATACTATAATTTCACAATCTCTTCATTTTTGATGGGCATCAAGGCCGATTGCATTTCCTTGCTGTTATGAATGGATGGAAAAATATCTCTGTGTTGAATAGTCAGTGTGTTAAGAGATAAATAGAGAATAAAAATTTAAATTTCTTGAAATAAATGAATATGGAAATGCAGTATACCCCTAAAAAAGCTATATCAATATGGTTGCTTATAGAAATTAAATCTCACATCAAATATTTGGAAATATCTCCAACAAATGCATTGTTGTACTTTAGAGAGCTGTCAAAACAAGGAAAGGAGTTCAAGAGAATTGTGTTTGTGAAATAAGGTAGAGTAGAAAGACAAGTAACAAGTTATCTCAAAGAAAAGGTTGATGTCCTATAAGTAGGAGCAGAATGATGATCATTAGATTCTAAAGAGCTTGATTTTATGCTTTTCCTATGGATGTGATATAATACCCAGACATGGGAGGTAGAGGCAGACAGATCTCTAAGTTTTAGGCTAGCCTTGTCTACAGAGTGAGTTCCACAATAGCACTTTATATTCCAGAACACTGGTTAGATTTATTTAGCCAGGTCTCTCAAACCTTAAATATATTCTTGACAAATGCATTCAGAGCATCTTCGAGACTCTTCTTTAAGCAACATATTCCAAAGAGATGGGCCCTGGGACCCACAGGAAAGTTTCTTTGATAATCATATTTATATAGATCAGATCATCTACAATTAACAGGAATTGCTAAGTTTTAAAAGCCTGCCTTCCCTTTTTATTTTGGAATTCCATTTTTTTGTCTTGCCTTCAGGCTTTCTTCACAAAGCATTGCATGATTGAAAGGTGTTCTATCTATCTATCCATCTATCTATCATCTATCTATCTATCTATCTATCTATCTATCTATCTATCTATCTATCTATTTTTTTAGTTTATTTGGAAAGAACTACTATCAAATTACTTTTTCCTGTCTGGATAACCTGTTTCACATGTCAGAATATGTTTACATGCCCAGTATTCATCAAGAGGAATAAATTTAATAAATAAATTAAACAATCTATAAGTTTCCTTTGTGTAGGTCTTCTTCATTGAACTCCAGCCTTAAAACACCTGACTCATGCCCTTTAAAGTTCAATAATTCTCTTTTGTGACAAAAATAAAACCTGTTCCCAGCAATCTACAAGTGGCTCAAAGAGAGCTGATACAACCCTAGTTAACAATAATTCATTATGTCATTTGATAATCAACAAATACATCATGACATGAAGTCAAGACTTCTAGGGAAAAAAAGTCCAAATCTCTGCATTTTACTGAAGTAGAGCAAATACATGTTAGATCAAAGCAGCTAATACTATTGCTCAAGAATGAAGTCTCTTATTAAGACCATCTTCCATGTTTATGATTGACCTAATAACAACATAATAAGCATCACTTTACAGTAAAGGCACTATGACAAAAATACTTACAATCTTGGTATAGACATTTCTCTCCCACTTGTGACTTGCCAGGGCCTAAGTTTGGTGATACGGAAAGTGATGTCATAAAGAGAACAAGAACCCTGTGACTTAAGGGGAATGATGAGAATTCCTTCTGCTTGGGTTTTCTGCCATCTAAAATTCTAAGATTAAAGTTTACTATCACTTATGATTACTGAGTAAGCTTAAAAGTCACAGTCACATTTTAATAAATACTTGATTTTGATAGTTTCAGATTAGTAATATGTTGGGGGTTTCATTTATTTATTTGTTTGTTTGAGACAAGGTATCTCAATGTAGTCCTTATTGTTGTGGAACTCCTTATGTAGACCAGGTTTGCTTCATACTATCAGAGATCTTCCTTCCTTATAAGTGTTGGAAAAGGCGAGTGCCACCATGCTGGGCCTTATTAACATGTTTGAAAAGAAAGATAAATTTCAGTATTTAGCTCTGACAATCTATTAATATCTCAATTCATTTTTATTCATTTACCTTGTGTTAAATCTTTTGCCTAACTTTACATTTCTTTTTGTCTTCTCAATCTGATGTAGACTCAACATGTGAAACATGTGTGAAAATATCAGACAGAATGGGGCTGAAGAGATGACTGAGAATTTAAGAGCACTTGTTTTTTCACAGAGGAATTTGTTCGGTTCTCAGCATCCATGTTGGGCTTGTCACCAAGTCCTATAATTCTAACTCCAGAGAATATGACATCCTCTCCTGACTTCTCTGAACATCCACACCTGAGTACACATATTCACATCAATCCATATAACTAAAAATAAATCTTAAAAAAAAACAATACTTGAAAAATTACAAACATAATGAAACATCTGTGGGCATGTTAAACAGTAGAACTCATGTGATATTTGTATTTCTGAGTCTGGTTTATTGCTCCTATTTACAGTTCTTTACATTTTCCTTCATCACATGATTTATTTTTACTTTATGATTGAATAAGTCTTCATTCTTTATATATACTTTTATTTATCCATTATTCATTTGATGATGTGTATAGGTTGAGTCCATCTCTAAGTACCAATAAGCATGCATGTAGACATACATTCAATAGAGGTTTGTTGAGAAGTTCCTACATTAATTTCGATAGTTGGTGAAGCAGTTTATATTCCTACCAGCATTGAATAAGGATTCCTCATTCCCCACAGCCTCAAAAGCATTTATTGTCATTTGGTTTCTTGACATTAGTCATTCTGTGATGCAGTCTCAATTCATTGTAGCATTCAAACCATCATCCCTCTGTCTGTCTACCTCATATCATCTCATTGCACCTTGATCATTCCTATAAACCCATTGTAGAGGTAGTGTTTTAAGTAAATATTTGTCAAGGGCTCAGGTATTTGAACCCTTGGTCCCCACATTGTGGCACTGTTTGAAGAGGTTATGGAAAGTTTAGGGGATGGAACCTTGCTGCAGGCAGTATATCACTTCTGGGGCGGGGGGGGGGGGGTTAGCTTCATTCCTCTTCCAGTTTACTCACTCTGCTGTAGACAAAATTCTAAATGGTCTTATTAAATAAGAAACCCAGAGCCAAATACAGAGTTAAAAGCCCAAGAGATCAGAGCACTGGCGAAGACCCAAGACTACCTTTAGCTTACCACTTGCTTCTGTCCTTCCCCTGAGAGAGACCTTCTTCTGTGTGTCTTCTGTTTTTTTTGCTTTCCTGTTCTGCCTTCTCATTGGCTCTAAGCCCAGCCATATGACTTCCTTGTCACCTCCTGTCTATACAGACCTCATGGTCTCTGTGGTTGGTACTGGGAATAAAGATTCAGGTCACCACGCTTGGCTGTGTCCTTAATCACACAGAGACTCTGCCTGCCATGTGATCAGATTAAGGGTGTATGCTACCACCATACTTCTGCTTAATGACTTGCTTTTACCTCTGATCTCCATGCAACTTTATTTATTAACACAAATAAAATCACATTTCAGCACAAATAAAATATCACCATACTCTGCTTCCTGTATGTGCAAGGAAATATGTTTGTTGTATGACACTGTACCTTTGGATACATGAACAAGAGTCTACTCACCCTAGATAGAGAACCAAAAACAGACCATTTGAGTATATATTCTGTATTATTATATATTGGCTGCATGTGGTTTGCTTTTTAATTTTAAACGGAGTCACCAAAAGATTTCCCTGATTCTCAAAAGTATCTTAGGACCTTTGAACAGTATTAAATATGTTAATGGCTCTGGAGACTTTTGAAATAGAGATTAATGAATTTGGCATTTTAATGTAGCTATGAGAGGGCTACAAAGTGCATTGTGGTAACTGAGAAGTGTTCCCCCAAAGCTCAGGTGTTTGAACACTTGGTCCCAGTTAGTGGTGCTATTTGGGGGAGTTTCTAAAACCTTTAGGATGTGGATGTATGTCCCTAGGGAGGAGGTTGTCTAGATTTCACAGCTTTTCTTTACTTCTAGTTCACTTTCTTTGCTTCTTGTGCACACTGAAATGTGATTAGCCCAATTTCAGATATAACCACTGATATGTATTCTCCCTTTGCAGACATTAGCCAAAATAAATTCTTTCATAAATCACTTTTGATAATGCTGTTTTATCACAACCATGAAAAATAATGAATACACCCATAAAGTACATATTAGGAATGGTCAATAATATACTGGGAATTTAATAAGAATTTAACATTTCCATGATGTTTAAAGAACACAGACACACACTGATTCAAATTAAACATGTGTCTGTGCATTGTAGATACTGTATGAATAATACTTAAGTTGGATAATTCATGAGTAACAAAAATTTGTTTTTCACAGTTCAGATATTCAACTTTCTAGATGTTAAGGGTGAAATTTCTTGAAGATTTTATGGTGAGGGATTGTGTAAAGGACCAGTGAAATGAGAGATTATAATCCAAACAATTTATATCCATAATCTACATATTGCTATAATAACATCTTTGAAATAAACTATAAATAGGAAAGTTTAATTTGGCTTCATGGCTTTGAAAATTTTAGTGCAATATCACATGGAAAGATTGTTTGGGGACTTATCATCATGCTGAGTGGGAGCTGTGGCAGGGGTTTGAGATGTGTATGATGGAGCAAGTTGCTCACATCATTAGCCAGGAAGCAAAGCAGAGGGGTGGTGGAGTGGAGAGGAGAAGATGAGGGGAGGAGATGAGAGGAAGGGAGTAAAGGGAACAGGAGGGGAGGGGAGAGAAGAGGAGGGGAGGGGAGGGGAAGGAAGGGGAGAGGAGAGAAACTGGGGCCCCAAAACTTCTTCAGTAATGTCTTAATTGAATAACAGTCTCCTACTATGCACCATGTACCAATAACACCACCCTGTGGATTATTAAATCAATACCTAAACTTTCAAGAAACCTTTGTGCAAACACAGTAGGAAAAATATATCAGTCACAGATGTTTATTTTAGCAAACCATTAATAAATCTTTTAATTCTGTATCACAGTAATAGTTCACATATCCTAAAGCTCAATCTGGGAAAATAAAGCATAAATAAAATTTTTAAAATTTTCCTAATTCACTTAATAATTTTTGTTGCACTTCTGTTACGGCTGCCTATAAGTTGTATACACTAGTAAGTAGATGATTTATTATTGATGATATGTGTTTATATATTATATACTTTATCACATGATTTAGTTAAAACAATCATTTCAATCATGTACCTAGAAGGTTGCTTGCTTTCCATTGTACTTAGCTGTAAATTTAATTCATTCCAATACTTCCTTCCTATTACAAAGATATTTTGCTTAAGTAATATAAATTATGCCAATGAAATAACTTCAGGAATGCATACAAGAACATGACACATGTACAGTTTCCACTGTGCCATATAGGAAAGCTGTGTTATAAATGGCAATGCGAGAATAGCACACTTTGCCTTTGGGAGAATTGATTTAACAAGTGCCTGATAATATTTCCCAACTGCTCCTTTCCAATCTGATATTAATATACATCTGTTTCATTTGTTTGAAGATTATTCTCTGAGTGAAAATATGTGTCAAATTAAAAATGTGTTGTAGTGTGAATGTCAAAATATTGTATTTCTGAGTCTATGATTCCGCAGTAACCACTTTAAACTATATCATTTGTTTTCAGATTGCAGATGTTCACTCATACAGCAAAGTTTCTTTTTAATTTTTATTGTATGAGCCATGAAATGCAAGCACTATAACTATGCTATAATTTTCATTGAATTTATTAAGCTACAGAAACCTAGAGCTATTTTCAAGTCAGTTTCAGTAAAATGATAAAAAAAGATAATTGATTTATCTTACAAGTTATCTAATTCAGAACACTATATAGTTCCTCAAGTTATTTCCATTATTAATCTGAATTATGAAAGAAGATTTTTGGCTGAATTTCAGATCAAGTAGTTTTTCCTAGATATTTTAATACAAAATTGCCCATATTAGCCACTGTGTAAGTAGTTCATAATATTTCTATTTGCAAAAGTGTATCTAAAAGAGATTTGTAATTATATAGAACTACTCAGGAAAGTAAAGGAGCCTCAAGTAAATGCAGAATAGATTTTTAATATTTGCTGTGGTTTGGATATAGTTTGTCACTGAAAATTTCACATACAGACAAGTTGATCACAGTGGATTTGTGTTGATGGAGCCTTAAAGAGATATGACTTTTGGAAAGTAATTTGGACCTGGGGCTTCATCATTGTAATAAATTAAAGCTTGAATAATCATGTGTGTTGGGTCTTATGGCAAAAACAAGTTCTCTTGAGAATGACTGTTATGAAGTAAGTTCATCCCGAGTATTTGGTCCTTCGTGTAAGTGGCTGTTTTATCTATATTTCTTAGCCATGTTGCACCACAGCCATGATCTCCTTCCACAGGACATTGATGCCACACTGCTTGGACCTTGCATCTAGTAAAACTACATGTCAAATTAACCTCATTTTAACAAAAAACTCATAGCAGTGCCCAGTACCATTACCAACATTCACAAGGTTTCTGAATGACAGAAATAAGCCATTCAAGTT